ATGCAAGATTACTAGAACTGGAATTGACTTCATTGCCTCCGCATCTATGATGAAAGACAACGGCATCTACAATAGGAGATAACGCATCTGAGATATGAGATAAAAATATCTACTATATGAGATGAAGATATGTATTATATGAGATAAAGGTGTGAGGAAGAATGAATCTCACACAATCGGACAAATAAAGTGGTATAAGCTCTATTCAGATTTATTGGAATTTATTCGAATAGATGTGATGAACACCGGTTGAAGATGATGATGGTCCGGTTAACAAGAGAAAAATCCTCAAAAACATTTCCCCAATTGGTTCGCCGATACTGAAATAAATAACGACTTGCTAATTGAACGGTTACTACCCATGTAATAACCTATTCAAAATTATTAATCAATCGAGGCCACGAGGATAAATAACATAATTAACAAACCTAAGATTTTTTCGCGTCGTAGGGCTGATAGCTAATAGGAAGGTGGTTAACGGGAACTTAGGAGAAATCAGTAAGAGGAAGGTACGCTAGACGGCAAGTCAACATAGGATAATTGGAGATTTCGCTATTATAAATTAGAGAAAGATTATAAGAAACGTGGCACTGGTCTAGGGAAACTTGTTCCACGGCAAAACTGGCGAACATGCTTTAATGTATTTGAAATTAAATGGTTTGAATAATGTTACAAAAATAGATCAAGTAAAATGTCTAGATTGCAGTAGAAAACTTGAACACGGAGCCTAAATAAATAAATAAATGAAAAAAACAACTTTCACAAACAAAAAAATAGTGAAAAGGCAGAGAGGAATATGTTTAGGACTGTAATTGATTCTGAGGTCAACGAAGTGAATAATTGAGAATTAATGTTCTGTAAGGGCTGAGGCACGTCAACTGAATGAATCTTTTTCCCATGAGATCGCTGACTTGGCCGTATATATTCTGATTAATTATTGAAAACACTAGCTGAAACTACTACCTGAGTAAAATACGGAACTAAATATAACATTGACAACTAATATTTCTAAATCAAATAGGAGCAGAAATGAACAATGGTAGGAAAATTCCCACAAAAGGGCCAAGACATGAGATGAAGATGTCTACTGTATAGAAGGAAGATATCTACGATATGAGATAAAGACATCTGCGACACAAGATAATTATATCTACGATATAAGATAAAAGTATCCAAGATATAAGTTGACACTCCTAAGATTTTTTCTGCAGGTATCTACGATATAAGACCAAGGCATCTACGATATCAGATCGATGTATCTACGATGTTAGATAAGTGCATTCACAATACAAGATAAAGACTTTAGCAGCTTGTTTAGAATTGTCCTTATCCTTACCGACTTGTTTTCCTTATTTTTCAATGTGATTCACAAGTAAATGATTCGCAAAATTATCCACGCGAATAGATTCAACTGTACAAATAAACAGCTTAAATAGAATAACTTCGTGGCGTGATCACTCGTGTGCCGTTACAGCAGCAACCGGAGCGTCATCCCGACGCATGAATGACGCATCGCGTGTTCATGGTGCGTCGTTGTGCGTGACGCATGATTATGCGTGGCAGGGACACGCGTTACGACACGCTTCTTGCCACGCATGAGTGGCACGCGTCGCATGCGCTGCCATAGGCGCTCAGTCTCCCTGCGGTGCTCCCTCGTCAGGGTTTCTCTTCTAGAGTTCTCCTACGGTCATAACCCTCTTACTCCCAAGTTCTCCTACGGTCATAACCCTCCACTCCCAAGTTCTCCTACGGTCATAACTCTCCACTCCCAAGTTCTCCTACGGTCATAACCCTCTACTCCCAAGTTCTCCTACGGTCATAACCACTTGTGTCAGGCGTTCAGGCAGGAAAAGCATTGCCGGCACCGAATATATCCATTGCCGTAGGCTTAAATTGTCCCTGATGTTAAAAAAAACTAACCTAGGCATTGCACAAATTACCTGAGTGATCATTATTAATATTTCATCTAATTGACTAACCGTGGAGATGTGGAGGCGTTTGCAAGCGTTCGGAATGATGTGTGAAAATATATAATCTGCTCCATACTTGTGCAGAGATCCTGTGGTTAAGTTAATAATTTAACTAATGAACCTAGTATGTTCCTCCTGATCATTGTAGATGCACTACTGACACTCCTATGCGTGGCAGGTGAGTTGATTATGCAACTTTGTTGAAACAAATTTTAATATTTTCAAATCTTTGCAAATCCTTAATGAAAAAATTGTATCTAAATTGTGTGGCTATTGGAAATAACAATGTAATGTGGTTGCATAATTATCTTAACTGAAATTTCGGTTATAATGCTCAAAATATCTCGGAATTGCTTTTATTCGTCCCTCCGCTCACGGTTCGCACCTTGGTTTTGCAGCTGGTGCTAGCCCATCCTCCTTCGCTCACGGTTCACACATTGGTTCTGCAGTTGGTGCCGGTCAGCCTCGTTCGTCTTCCAGAGAATCGCTTTCCATTAAAGATTTGCTACGCGCCAAGTTCGGCCGAGGTTTCGAAGGGAACGAGCTGTTAACTTCAAGTACCCCTTTATCGCAAGAGCTGGAGCCTCTCAATAGAAAAAATAGAACGGAAAAATTTAGTCAAGGAAACTCTGCAACGTTAATAGCAGGATTTTCAAGTCATCGGCACCACGGCACGACTGCGTCTCTTATCAATGAAGCTCGCGTCAGAACATACGAAAATCACCACAATCCAACAATATATAATTTTCCGTCTTTAGGCACCGTCGTCACTTCTAAACTAACCAAACCACTGGAACAGACTGATCAACTAACCGAACCTGGTCCAGGTTCAAAATACCAAACACCTAACGGGCTGGAGAGTCCTATATCGGGACCCACGGCCTCTGATTTGACGGCTCTGCTAGATTTATATCCAACACACCTTTCACCCCTTGCCTTGAAAGAGCCGCTGCTCCACTCAGGAGCTCCAGCGTCTGCAGGCTTATTCAGTCCGCAGGTTCCGACAACTACTCCCTCAATTGGGTCCGAGAAGCAAAGCTCGGTGTCGTTAGACTCGCCTCAGTTGTTTCTTCCTCCAGAATTCATACCGTTTGAAAATGATTCAAACACTGAGAACGGAGTCCACTCAACGGATTTTCCCACTTTCTTCCCCAACGACCCTGTAAATTCAACAACCATTGATAACGGACAGTCTCCTAACTTCCCGTTTGAACCACCATTAAATCTCAACACCGAGCCACCATTCCCCATCATTCCGCCTACCGGAATTTTGCCTTTCGATCCAAACTTTCCGGGACCAGCTACGCCGCAGCGGTTCCAGCCTGCCGTTGGTGGCAGCTGCATCTCTTTCACTGGAGAGCGAGGTTTGAGTTAGCTACCGCCAAAATTCCAACCCTACTTGAACTTTTTGTTTGCATTTTTTTTTTTGTGTGTCTTGATTCTTTTGCAAGATTTTATCCTCAAAACTGCATTCAAAGCTCACTAGTATTTAGTAATCGAAATTGAGTTATTTCGAGGCTTGGGTAACGCATCAACTAAGGAGCCGCGCTTCAGTTGACTGGTTGTTGCTGCTACGTTGACTAGTAATATCCACACTGACTGTAATATCCACTCTGACTGTAATATCCACTAGTTGTTGCCGCACTATTCTTAAGTTACTGTGCTAGTCACACCATGGCTCAGAGTTATCCCCCCATCCCACAGGCCTGTGTCTACCCCTGGACCGCTGCCCGCCTCTACGCCCGCTGGTCCAGCAGCTGCAGAATAAGCAGCTGTTTCTGTTGTTACTCAACAACGTCTGCAGGTCACGATTACCTACTAACTATATTGTTTTAGTCGATGTTCTTATTTGGCTTAATCGAACTGCCGATATAATTTATCCTCTCTTCCAAAACTTGTTTTTTCTTAAGTCCTCTTTTGAGATACTCTCATTAATATCTCACTTGATGCTAAAGTAATTTAATTAAGAGCTTACGCAATGTTTGAGTAACCTAACCTAGAGCTCACGTGCTGGCTGTAACGAGTGTGATTTTGTGGTGCTGACACACAGGTTCGCGAACAGTGATATCTTTTTCTGCTGTGAGTTGCCCGCCTTCCAGTCCGGCGACGTCGCGCTTGCTGACGCGCGGCTACCAGCGTCGCTTAGGGCGCCGCTCACGGTCGCCCCAGGGCCGAACCACGACTGCGGCCGACGGCTCCGGAGCGGCAAGATCATTGGCGGCAGTGCGAGCACAGTGAGTGTTGGCGTAAACAAATAATTAATTTAAAACATTTACTGTGACTAGTCGTTCTCCACCCTAACTTTTATGCTCCTTAACCTAGTTCCATGTAACAGAGAGCACCCACCTCTGGCGTCGGTCTCTAGTTTTGTGTCTTCGGCACGGGCAGGTTCTAGCCGCTCCAACGGGACTAAAGTAAACATAAATTTAAGACATTTTGTATTTCTCTAAGACTACAGTCCCCCCAAGTACCCTTCCCAAGTCTCTTCCTCAAGTCACCTCTCCCCTCAAGTCTCTTCCAAGTTCCCTCTCCTTCCCCGCCAGGAGAACGAGTGGCCGTGGCTTGCGGCCGTCGGGAGGCCGGCGTCCGACAAGAAGTTCGTGGCGGACTGCGTCGGGTCGCTCGTTACGCGCCGCCACGTCGTGACCGCAGCTAGCTGCTTCGTCTTCCCCGAGTACTTTCAGTCGTGAGTGAAAAGTACTCGCCACGTCCCCGAGTACTTTCAGTCGTCAGCATTGACGTCGTGACTGGCGGTCGTGAGTGAGTCGTGACTGGTAGCACGAAGTATTGCAGTCGTGAGTGGTGGCACGAAGTATTGCAGTCGTGAGTGGTGGCACGAAGTATTGCAGTCGTGAGTGGCGTCACGACTTGTCGAAGTCGCGAGTCGCATTTAAATGTACTAATGAATGTTTATAAATATGAATACCCTCAGGGCGTGGCGATGGTGCCTTTACTGTCCCATGTCGTGTCCTCAGGACGCACGTGCGGTTGGGGGAACACGACCCCCAGCGCCAGGACACGCGCCCGCACGAGGACTTCGTAATCGTTGGGAGGAACGAACCTGGTTTCTTGGCGCCCACCGGCCAGAACAACATCATGGTTCTCACCCTCGACAGAGAGGTGGTTCTCAAGGGTGAGTCGTTCTCCCACTCGGCAGAGAGGTGGTTCTCAAGGGTGAGTGGTTCTCCCACTCGGCAGAGAGGTGGTTCTCAAGGGTGAGTGGTTCTCCCACTCGGCAGGGAGGCGGTTCACAGAGGTAAGTGGTTCTCACCCTCGGCAGAGAGATGGATCTCAGGGGGTGTGTTCTCACCGTCGACAGGAAGGTAGCTTTCAAGGTTGAGTGGTTCTCACCCTCGACAGGAAGGTAGTTCTCAAGGTTGACTGGTTCTCAACCTCGACAGGGAGGCATTTCTCAGGGGTGAGATTCATACATACCGCAAAGCCATGTTCAGTAAGGCAGCTCCTCGCGTACAGATATAGGCCGTTACCAGCACTGTACATCCTCCAGTGTAACTCCCTGCTGTTCAGAGAGACTGATTAACACGTTTGTGCAACTGGTAACTCAGTCGGTAACGCGTCGCCCCTGAGCCGCAGACTGACCCAGTAACGCGTCCCCGCAGATCACATCCTCCCCATCTGCCTGCCTGATGTCGGCGACGAGAGTCCGACACCCGACGAAGACGTCACAGTCGCAGGCTGGGGGCTGACCAGCCTTCCCGACGAGCAGCAGACAGGTCGGTGTAGCAGGCAGGCTGTATCGCCATGTTGATCGCTATATGGCGACGATTGGTCGCTATATGGCGACGATTGGTCGCTATATGGCGACGATTGGTCGCTATATGGCGACGATTGGTCGCTATATGGCGAAGACTGGTCGCTATATGACGACGATTGGTCGCTATATGGCGACGGTTTGTCGCTATATGGCGATGACCACTCGTGACGTGACCGGTTGATCATTAAATTTTATGTTATAATTCGGCGTCTCTCCCCCAGCAGCGTCGGCTGGTAGGTTCATAATGAAATAATGAAGGTCATGTCAGAAATAGTGAAGTATCAGTCTGGAATAGCACCTCGTAAATGCTTGGTTAGTAAGGATTCCTAGTTTATGTCGAACCTCAATTGAATAAAGATCGTCATATTGATCCTCAATTGAATTGAGGATCACCAGTTCTTAGATTATATTGAACGCAGTGGCGGGAGACGGTGGTCCCCGCCACATCGAGCAGGTGGTGGGGGCGGTGGGACGCTGCCAGGCCGCCCACAGGGACGCCAGGGGCGGCGCCCTCGTGGCCGACCACCGCAACATCTGCATCCTGCGACACGGCGCCCCCGGCGTCTGCATCGTACGTGACCCACTTGTTACGCTGGTAGTAGTCTAGTGACACACTTGTTACGTTAGTAGTAGTCTAGTGGCGCACTTGTTACGCTAGTAGTAGTTGTCTAGTCATAAGTTAATCAGGCTGTGGTAGGTGCCCAACTAATTTGTGAGTAAGAGGTAACTTCCTAACATTTATATACCTGACTTACAAGAATGTAATTTTCTGATGCCTATAAGAAAAAATATAACTCAGTGTTCACTGCAGTGAGTGATATAGAGCGCATTTTCCCGTCGACGGAAACGTGAAGTCACGGACAGACGGACAGACGGAAGGATGGACATTACAAGCACAATAGTGCATTTTTTCATAAATGAGAAAATGCGCTAAAAATGCACTATTAGGCTTAAAATTAATTAATTTTTGTTGAAACGGTTTAATTTTTACGTCCAGGGCGACACGGGGGCGCCGGTGATGCAGCGGCCGGAGGGGGGGCGCTGGACCCTCGTGGGGGTGGTGGCCTCGGCCGCCGGGTGCCTTGACGGACACCGCCACACGCTGGCCACCAAACTGTCCACCTACCTGCCCTGGATACGTTACGTGACCGCGCTGGATATGTGACCGCGCTGGATACGTGACCGCGCTGGATACGTGACCGCGCTGGATACGTGACCGCGCTGGATACGTAACCGCGCTGGATACGTGACCGGCGCTGGATACGTGACCGCGCTGGATACGTGACTGCGCTGGATACGTGATGGGGCACGGAATACGATATATGCATGACCGGTGCCTGACTACCGCAACTATCCTCTTTCTCTCCACAGCAGTCACTCTAGGTCCCAGCAGTCACTCTAGGTGCCAGCAGTCACTCTATGTGCCAGCAGTCACTCTAGGTCCCAGCAGTCACTCTAGGTCCCAGCAGTCACCCTAGGTCCCAGCAGTCACATCATGTGACATAAGTAAATTAGCTCATGGCATTAATGACCTATCAAATGTCTGCTGGCACCTAGAGAGACTGCNAATTTCCTGCGAAGCTCTGAAGACGTGTACATGTATGTGCCATTTATGGTACTTGATTGAAATCATAGTGGGATTTACATTTTTATTTAGAAGTTAATTACCGAGAGAAGCGGACAAATGATAAATTCCGCGTCAAAACTCGGTGAAAACTATCCTGCGTCTTGAGTTCTCTGGAAGAAAGTACCGTGTCTGAGTTGACTCTGCCAGACTTTATCTCAACAAACAAACACAAGTTTTTTGCAGTCATGCGAATTGAAATATAATTTCTGGAGCGGGATCCTGACACCTGGATCAACATTGAACATTAGTTATCAAAAAATGCAGCAGTTGTTAATGGTCAATGATGTTGAAAAACGTAGTACTTCTTTGATAAAGAACTTCAACTCCGTGGTCACTAACCAATAAAAAACAAAAGCAGTATCTGCTGCAGGTCGTTGAACGTCGTTACAAGCAGTTTCCTCCGTCCAAGAAATTTGTTATTGTTGAGAAAATTTCAAGTGACTGAAATAACTGCGCTATATTCCTTTTGTAGTAGGTCGGTGACAGAAGCACCGCACTAAAGCACTTCAGTGGAGTATTGCATTGACTAATGTTTAAAGTAACTTCACCTGTTTGGCGTTTTGCAGATACTGCTAACGTAATTGGTGCTAGCCTGACATTAGAACTCAACCTCCATTGTGCAGTGCACCCAGTAAACGGTATTCGCTTGTAAAAATTATTGGTATGAGCACCCTGCCTATGTAGTGGAACAATACTGGACCATGAGACTAAAAGAAACGAAAATTTTTTTTTCGCTTGGCACCAAAAATGAAGTTCGATAGTCACCTGAAGTGGCGTAGTGCGTTCAGTTTGGGCTTGGTTCTGCGAGCAGTTGAAAGACAATTTTTCGTTCGTGCATATCAGTTTTAAATTCTTATCTGAACGTGTGAGATGATTTTCTGCCTTGCGTGTGTCCCAAATGAATAGTTTTATATTGTTTATGTTTGTTTTCAGAAACTGATCTTGATCCGAAGAGTACACACAACACACCTTTTTTTATTACTTGAAAGGAATATGTGTTATATGACTTATATCTTATTTTGAGATGCTAGCAACCCAAAAAATCTTTTTTTATAGCCCAACAAACGCAACGGGCGGTAGGGTTCAAGCGACATCGGATAAACTTTTATGTTCAAAATCGACATGCAAATGTGTAGTGGGTAAATAAAATTCACAACTTTCTAGAAGAATAAAATGTATGTAGTCATAAGTATATCAAAAGTCACTATGCTTTCGACAAATAAAGACGACTGAACGTAGAAAGCAGTCACTTGATTGTGAGACAATTGATAGGCGTCAGTGATGGGGCACACGAAATATTTACAGCACTGCAATAGTTATACACTCCCTCAAAATAACAGCAATGTTATTTCACGAAATATTTACAGCACTATATATAACGAAATATTTACAGCATTATATATTACGAAATATTTACAGCACTGCAATATACGCCCCTCAAAATTACAGCGATCGGTGCAACAAAAAATATTTACAGCACTGCAGTATACACCCTCCACACGGCGCCTGAACTCCTCTCACAAGAACAACGAGGTTTGTACAAAATATTCAGAGCACAAAATTATAGAAAATTTGCTTCGAGATATCCTTGGTATGAATTATGGACGAAGCAGTCCCAAGCCACGTTAGAGCACCGCCTCTGTATTCCGTTCGCTATAATTCTGCTATGGCGTCACAAAACTTGGCCAAAGAGTTGAAAACGTAAACAAACAAAAAATTGCTTGGTACGTCCAACAAAAAAGTTCATCGCGTGACCAGAGCATCTATCTGAACATATTGATTCTTTAATATGGACGGTAATATAATAACATTAATAAATAAAAGCCTCGAGTTACAAACATAAAAGACCCTGAGGCCGTTTCNGGGGCGTTGGGTCGGGGCAGTGGCCCGGCAGCGCGCTGGGAGTGCATCACGGTCTTCATCTTGGCAATGAAGGACTGCTGGTCGATGGGAATGAAGCCGACGTATGCGTCCTTCTCGGACGAGTACAGCAGGATGATCATGCGCAGGTTGACGTTCGAGTTTGTAGGGTACACGCAGCCTGCCTGCAAGCCACCAATATTAATAAATAGAGCAGTACTAGAAGAAATAAAGATATAATCAGAAATTTCATACGTCTCAATGATTATGCAAAGCAAATAAGATAAGATTCTCAGAAAAATGTGTTTAACAACAAACATCAACTGGTTATCTTGGATATCAACATACAGACGTAAGCACAGACCAGAATCTTACGCTGATTATTTAAAATTAAATCAACTTTTTATGGCTGCTTCGCCAGCTCAACAAGTGTCTTAAAAATTTTTCTCACCTACGAGCGAGGCGAAGGTATTTAACAAGGACATATTACACATTACACAACAAGGCACCCACCATGGACCGTCATAACACATTACAACAAGGTACCCACCATTGACCGGGACAGGTGGTTTGAGAGCACGGTGAGGGCGGGGCAAGGCTCGGGCAAGAACATGACGGTATGGACCTGCTTGAAGCAGGAGTTGCCTAGAGGGCTTAAGATGCCCTTAGGTATGAGATGCAGCACCAGCTTAGCGGGCCAGCCTTCAGCCTTAACTTCAGGCTCGCCGTTGACAATCGACGTAGTCATCTTGCAAGGGATCTGGTAGTTAGCACGCACCATTGGAGCGTCTTTCTTCTCCTGCAACTCCAAGGTTCCTTGCCACACTACCGTGCGCTGTTGTGTCCCAAGGTTGCCAACAGGCAGGGTGGGCTGCTGGGCAGGACCGAGGTTCTGCAGGTTAGGTGTCCCCATCTGAGTAGGAACTTGAAGATTAGAGGTCACCATCTGAGAGGAACTTGAAATATTGGAGGGAGCCATCTGCTGGATGTTCATTCCCTTTGCGGCGGGACTGAGGTCCGGCGATGGCGACATTGGCCACCTGGGCCTCGGCTGGTTCGGAGCTCCCGGCCGCATGATGGTCGCTTTGGCGACGGGTGCGCGGTTGCCGTGCTGGTTCATTGACGGCATGGCGCTGCGCATGGACGGCTGTGACATCTGCTGCTGCTGCTGTGCTGAGGGGGAGGCAGCACCAGCAGCACTGCTGTGCTGTGGTGAGAGGTTCATGCGGTTACCCGCAGGTGATTGCTGCTGCTGCTGCTGCTGCGGTGCAAGGCTGGTGTTGCCAGAGGTGTTGTGCGACACAAGAGGGGGGTTGTCGTGCTCGGGCAGCACAAATCCCGACAGAAGTACCAGGTGCTGAGGTTTTGTGCCGTAGTTTTTGTGCGATGACACACTGAGGTCGCCGCCACCGAGCTCGAATATCCTGTAGAGTTCCGGCAGCCGATGGCACGCGATCACCGAGAGCTTCACGCCGCAGTTCTTGAGGTTCTTCACAGTGGACTCGATGGCGTTAGGATTCCAAGGGTGGATCACGGGGCTGCTCTGAGTTACCAACACGCAGAACTTTTTACTGGAGTTTGGCAAGTCGGAAACAGAGTTGCCAGAGTTTAAGGAGCCATGGGATGCCGCCATCTTGTCCATTTGTGAGAAGAATGTTAGGGCGCTCTGCAGGCCTTCAACTATACAAGCTTGCCTTGTGTTGTTCAGGTTTGTGTACCTGAAAGACATTCCATACATTGAATATACATACATGGTTATAAATTAATAACAAATTGAATCCAGACTTTAGTAGTATAATAGTACCATAGTCATGGTTAATAATATTTAATTGAGTATAAGTATCAAGGTTTGAACAAAGAACAAATGAATACATAACTTCATGGGACACTTACTTGGCCCCTTTGATGGCAGTGAGCACTGCATTGACTGAGGGTGTGGGGCCAACAGACACAACTCGGCCCAGGCCGTGGCCAAGCCAAGCGTCACAGCCAAAGAACACGACACCAAACTGCACAGCACTGCACTGCAAACAATGAACAATGGAAACATTGCAAACACTAATAATTGCTGCATTATATCAATTTTAATTGAGGTTCATGCGATTTAATATTTGTATATACTGTTCATAAATCAGAAATATAGTTTCAAAAAGCCAAGTTATTACATCCTCAGCAGACAAGATTGTCACATAAGTTAATATATATAGGTACTTCTCTTTACAGCCGTTTACCTTGATAAGACTCACAAACTCCCTAGATCCTACAACCTGTTGTTGAAATAAGACCTCTATAGAGCAATTGCTAGAAATGTTATGAATCAATGGAGTTGACACAGAAACTTTATATAATTCTTAGAGACAAAGCACCAACTTGATGGAAGAAGATGTCTGTATCTTCATTCAGTCCCCCACAGAAGTTCCTGCAAAAATATAATGATCATTACTCATCTCAACATGGGTAGCAACATCAGCCATTATTCATCTAGAACACAAGTTACAACAAATGGATTTGAACTCATCACTTACGCGAGTGCATGAGAGATGTACGAGTCAATCATCTCGGTGATATACATCTTCATAGGCAAGCTCTGCTCCACCACAAATATGATGGATGTTTTCTCGTGGTTCATTGTGAAGTTGATATGCCTTTAACTCACTGATGACAATCATACATAAATATGTTTCATAATACTGTAGAACTTAATTCTGCAAAAGAAAGTAATCCAGTTAGACTGAGATAACTGTCTGCCTAAGACAGCAATGCTACATTTAAATTTTAGTACTTATTTTCTAAGGTGTCCTCACAGCAATGATCATTAGAATTGTTAGGCATCACAAAACCATAAGAATAAGTAAGAAATTATTTTTAGAATTAACATTTAATCAATCACATCACAGATGCTTCTCCAGAAAAATATGCACAAATCAAAATAATTTTCCATTACAATTTTTACAACTAAATTTTTCTTGCAGAGCACAATTACAAACATCACCAATTAGAAGCAGGAATGGTTTTGTCAACCCACTGAAAAAAGTAATGTAGCTTTGAAGATTTTATGTCAACAATTCAGTGTACATCCGTAGAAGTATCCATCAACCAATAACCAATTCTTTGTCCAGTCCAGCAAGAAGAAATATCTAGATTAAAAATGTAAAGGCAGCAAAATTCTTTGCATTATCAACAAGATTGACCTGCCTGAAGCTCTGATGGAATAATTGTCACCCATTCCTATCTCAGTTCTCCCATTCATAAATTTAAGCAGAAATTATCTAAATTAGAGGGCAGAAAGTATGGAATCAAAACTATAAGTTATATGGTACCTATACAGCCCCCATGCCTTTAAACTAAAGATATTGGTGTATTTTCAAGCTCTCTATTGAGCCATCTTGACCTTAAATTGGCTTCCATGTCCAATCACAAACTATTGGTACATTGATCATGACCTTGTGGGCTGGTATCTCTTACTTGTTTCAATTGGTAATATCGGCCACCCACAGAAATTTTAAGTACAATGTGCATACATCCATGGCCCATGCTGCTCATTAAGCATTGGCCATGTCAGTCATAAATAATGTATATACTATGGAGATGCCTTATAGGCAACCAACTTTTTTTTTCTACCTTTTCTGTTGTGTCTTTGGGACACTAAATGTGGCATCCTTAACCTATGTGCCCTTAACTTAGCAGTCTGGGTTGTGATTAAATGTCAATCCAAACATCAGTATGTGAATTGAGTGAATTTCACACAGCCAAGCAAAAAAAAATATATATAGAAAGGAAAATTCTGAAAAAGTATTAAAGTAGTATTACTTTAATGATTCAATCCTCGCTGGGAGTATTGATTAAGGTATAATGGGTTAATAAGGGATGGTTTTGAGCGTTTTCTGTTAATAACTTCTTACCATGAAACATCTCATGAATGAGTTTGAGCTCATTTCAAAGGTCTTTGCAAGGGCAATTGTGTGACATCTCTGAAAAAATTCCATAGCTATTCGTAAGGTGCCAGAAGCAAAAGAAAAGCCTCCTGAATCACCCCTGGGAACAGGTTAATAAGGGAAACTTCAAATAAAACTTAATTTTAAAATTTTTATAGCAAGCAAACTTTCAAAGTGTACTCCATTACTAGCAGTACTCAGAAATCCTCTTTTTCCTTTGTAGATGATGTAGGTGCAGAATAAATGACATTTTCTGTGATTTTTACTTGTTTTCCTTTTATTGATATGATATTTTCTTATATATGCATTACCATATTATTGATGTGCTATTACTGTACTATCCAAGGACATGCCATTGACATTGAGCATTGACAACAACATAGTCCACTGCAAGCTTAATATGTATCAGCAGCAGCCAGGGTGCAGAAAGTTATGGATATCAAAAGATCTCTGGCAACGCATCAGCAGCAAAATTTATGCCTTCAGAATATGTTGCTGACACATTTGGATTGAAATTGCATTTTAGAAATTACTTTGAAATTATTGCAAATCTGAAAGACCGCAAGCCACAAGTGCAACACAGTAAGGTTTACAGTACATTGGATGGATCAGGATGCAGTGCATGGAGAGTAAGGGATATACTATCAAAGTTGTTAGCAGCATTTCATTATTAAAAATTACCCGGCGACACATCTTGAAAATGGCTGGCAGCTCTTTGGGCTAAAAATCCATATTTTGGCAACCCTGCTTGTACCCTCCAAGCATGGAAAACGTCTACCTCTAGAGCCGTGACTAGAGCTTCCCTGCCATTTCCAGAACCACGAGATTTCTGCCAGATTAATCATCTCCTATCTAATTGTTAAGAAAACTACATGATTGGGCCGCAAAATTCTAATTATATAAAAAACTTGTCACTCCTCACTATCCTGGATACCTACCAGAATTATCATACATAAGAAATTAGTTTAAATCTTGGGTAAACAGGGTTGGTGATTTTTTTTATTCATTTGATTTTTTTGCTTTTTTTCAGCTTTTTTGTCATTTTGAAGTGTTATTTTTTATGTTGCAATTAGCCTACTAACAATAACAGTATATGGATCATAACGGATGGCTAAATAGGGCACTTATTGCCTTCAATAATGGCCAACAGGCCAAGGTGGTGTTTACCACTTAGGGATTTTTGGGTAAACAATTATTGATAAGTCTATTCATTAGCTTTGTAAAGTTTGTATGGAGCAAGGTAATGAGCTAAATATTGACCATTTAACTGACTTCAATATCAAAAAACACTTCAGGAATGCAGATCTTCTAAACATTGAAGAGTCACAAACAAATAGGAAGCTGATAGCACAGTGCACAGCACTATCAATAGATCTACTAGTTTTATGTCCTATAAATCCACCAGACTCTACCCTCTATACACACCAACTAGTAGTGACTGAGTGACTGACTGCACTGTTCCCATTTAATTCAGACCAATAAACCAATACTAAACCAACTGAACGACAAACAAACAAACTTCAAACGACTTGAAATGAGACTTGAGTTATGAGAAAAGCTAACACTGTTTGACATAAACATGTGCACAATTCAAATATTTTATATCCATTCACTGCATTTAATTATTTTATATATAGTCTTATAATGGTAATTGTTTTGTTTCTTGTTTTAAATTTACATATTTAAAGATTGAAATTAAATATTTTAATTAGAATACCGCAAAATGGGGTTACTTTGACCGGCGGGGTAACTTTGACCACTTTTTGTTTTTTTAACAAAAACCCCCAAAACTTAAAAACGATTCGACGTAGAAAAATTTAGTCAATGACCATCAAAGGCCTAATACTGAGGCTACGTAACACAATAGAAAGATTTAAAAAGTTTGCATATCTAATAGGTTAAAAAATTAATAATGTGACCCACGAAAAAGAGCTATTATTTAAAGCCTGT